AACAACAACAACAACAACAACAACAACAACAACTTAAGGCTGCCAGGTGTGGTGGTGCACTCCTGTAATTCCAGCTCTCGGGAGGCTGAGGCAGGAGGATCGCTGTGAGTTCGAGACCAGTCTGGGCTACAAAGTGAGCTCAAGGCCTGCCTGAGCTGCTTAGCAAGACCCTGACTCAAAAAGACAAAGAGAAGAAAAACCCTCAAGCCTGCTGAGACCAGGTAGATAAGGCTGACATGCAAAGTGCAAATGGGTCACAACAAGAGGACCTGGACACATTTGTGACTTCTCAGAGCTTCATGGGAGTCCTCTCTTTCATAACTTCAAGTGAATATAAGATGAAAGAATGCATATGAAAAAGCTTTTGTAAACTCTTCAAGATTTAAGATCAATTTTAGTTATTGCCATTAGGTGAGAGACCCCCGTACTCTTTTCAGATTGACAGGAAACAGCCATGTCTCTGGGTAATACACAGGGAACAGTGTAGGCCACTAGAACATGGTGGGAAAGACTATGGAGTAGCCACAGGTCTTGAGTTCAAATTCTGCCTGGCTCCAAATTTTAATCAGCTCAATGGATTGGGGCTAGTTTTTTCTACCCTATGTGTGTCTTTTTTTTTTTTTTTTTTTTTTTTTAGGGAAGGGTCTACAGGGTCTTGAGGGTCTCACTACTAGATCAGACTCATAGTGATCCACTTGTTTACAGCCTCCCAAGAGCTGGGATTACAGGTGCACCACCACGCCCAGTCTCAGTTGCTGTCTCAGCACGCCCTGGGGGTAGGGCCACTGCAGCAGGACTGAGGATCGAATGCCCAGCCCCTGCGCTTGCTTGCAGGCGCTTTAATCCACTGAGCTATTTGTCTGCTTCTTTGTGTATCTTTTCTTCAACTTCATTGTAGTGTTAGAGAAAGAAAATAAGTAAGACCACGAGTGAAGGGCAGGGCTCTGCACGTGAAAGTCCGTGCTTTCTGTCGCCAAGTATTTTTTGTGTCCTGTGTTACGCGTACCCTTCTCTGACAGGAAGAGTGAAGGTATGGCCAGCAGTAACACTTAAATCTTGCTCACAAGAGATGACACACGTGTCTCAGAAGCTGTGTGCTTTCTACCGGCTAGTTGTTCAGCTTCTTTTCCATGCAGGAGGACTGAGCTTTCCTCCTGTCTCAGCCTGTGCCACCACCAGCTGGGACACCCACAGGGAGGAAGGGCTCTTTCTTTGGAAGCCTGGTGTCAGAGCGTGTGTCCAGCACTAAGCAGCTGCGTTCACATTCCCCGGTCACCTTTCCGGCAGCATAGCTGCGGGCAGTGAAACCAGGCTAGGACCCGCTGGGCTCTGCCCACCTTGCCGTGGACTTGAGCAGGTCCCCACTGCTCCCCAGAAGTCCATGTCCTCCTCTGTCCACCGGAGAGGAGCCATCCCAGCCGGGAATGCTCAGTGACCACGTGCTTCCTTCCCACATGTTGTAAAGTGTCCAGTGTTTTAAAAATTCCAAAGCAAAACACAACCACAAAAAATAATGGTAATCATTAGTAGTTGTTCATGGGTTGTTTTTAGTGCCTCTTGGAGGGTAGAAATAAAGCTGGCAACTCGTGATTGCTCCAGATATGTTGTTTTTCAAGCCCAATTTGAAAACTTCTACAGTGGGCCAGAGAGGGCTGGCACAAGGTATACCGTGCCATGCCCCTGGGAGCAGGCCCTGCCTCTCAAAGCTCTGTTTCCACTTTTTCCTTCTTCTCTTTTATTCTTTCTTCCTTTCCCCTAGTCTCCCTTCTCATTTAAACATTCTCTTCCTATTTTATGAAACCTATTGCACGTTTTGGTCCTTCTTTGCACTTCCAGTTCCTCACACCAGAGAAACTGTGTGACATTAGGACACAGGTGTCTGATCTATTTCACTCAAGAACAAGCTCTCAAATTGCATCCATTTACCTAGAAGCGTCTCAAGTTTGTCCTTCTTTATGGCAGACTAGTGCTCCATTGCGTAAAAGCCACGTCTTCTCTACCCATTCATTGACCGGGGGGCATTTGGGCTGCAAAGTTTCAGCGACTGCAAACTGTGCTGCTATAAACACGGGTGACTTCTGCCACTGTGCCTATAGGAAGATACCAGGCAGGGGAACAGCCGGGTCAATGGGGACCTCTAGTCCTCGTTTTATGAGGATTCTCCACTGCCACATTAGTCTGCACTCCTACCAACAGCGGAGAAGGGTTCCTTTACCCCACAGCCTTGCTGCCATTTGTTATTAGTTGATATCTTGACGATAGCCATTCTTTCTGGGGTGAGGTGAAACTTCAGTTTTGTTTTATTTTGTATCTCTTGAGTGACCAGAGATGTGAAACATTTTTTTCGTATATTGATTTGCCAAGTTGCCCTTCTGCCTCTGAGAGATGTCTGTTCATTTCGGATGCCCGTTTTTGGATTGGGTCTTTAAATTTGGGGGAAGGGTCTGGATTATTTTAGTTTTGTATATATTCTAGCCCTTTGCCTGAGGAACAGTAGGCAAACATTGTCTTCCCACACCGTGCGGTGTCTTCTCACTCTGTTGGTGGTTTCTTTTGCCGTGAGAAACCTTTTCAATAAGAGGAGACGTCAGCTGTTGATTCTCCGTAATGTTTCCCATAAAGTGAGGGTTCGCTCCTAAACTCTTTGTCCACACCTATGTCCGACCTTTCAAAACATTGTTGAAGTGTAATATATTAACTATTTACGTGTAGGCTTCCTGCCTTCGCTCCTTCCCACCTTGGCTATGCCCAGCCACTGGATTCAGCAGGGCTAAGTGAGGAAGGCATAGCCCGTCTCCCCAGACCTAACCTATAGTGGAGAAGGCAGATGGTAGTCACAAAATGCAAACTGATCTCGGTATGGAAAAGGAGACGCATGATGCGGAGAGACAAGCAGCACTCCCTAAGCGAGAGTGCTCTGCGGGCCCAGCCGGGATCTTCCTGTCGGCGCTCTAAGAGTTAAGTAAGCTATGCGAAAGACTGAAGTGTTTCTCCCGAGACCATCCGTCCTTAAATGCATTTCTGCCAATCATAATGTCCTACTTCTTTGCACTTGCTTGGGCATTATCTCTCTCTCGATAACACAATCTCCCACCTCTCCTACCCGCGCAACCACCTCACCTTTATCGACTAGATCCCACTTCGCTCTCTATCTGCCTCAGCATCACCTTGTGTAATTCCTTCGCTCACCTCCTCTCTCCTCTCCCCTTCCTATTTCCTAGTGTCAGCACCTCTGTGTCATGTCTGTCCTCCCCAGCATCTGACCCTCGGCTAAGAAGAACAATGGCTTGCTGAGAATACATCCTGAGCTGTGGCAAAAGGTAGACTGGAGCACCACTTCCGGCTTCCCTAACTACCTGTGAGTCAGGTGACCTCAGGAGCATCACCAGCACTTCCAACCCAGAGAGGTCAAACAGAAGGAGAAAAGCGAGTGTCAGGAAAGTATCTACCGTTATTTTCCCCCTTGATGAGCTGAACACCTTTTACATTAATAACACGCAGGACATATTAATTGTTTTTATAAATGCTTGTTTATAAATACTTTGCACATAGTTGCTTCTCAATTCTTCACAGTATTCCTATGAAATAAAATGATATAGCAGCCAGGAGCCCGGTTAGCTCAGTTGGAAGAGCATCAGACTATTAATCGGAAGGACCAGGGTTCAAGTCCCTGTTCTGGCACAGCTTCATGAAAGTAAAATGATATAACAGGCACAATCCTCACTGGCACCGTCATCGCCATTTTACACAGAAAGCCAGGGAGACGAAGCGAGCGCCTCAGGTTCAGCAGCTTGGGAGTCCAGAGGCCAAATCTATGCCATGAAGCTCATCCTCAACCCGTACACTAAGATGCCTCCCGGTTCCAATTATAGGTTTAGGTTTTCTTTAATGAGATTAACTATACATCCTCTAGGAAATTGGCATAGGAATTAACCAAGACGATGTATAGAAATTGCTTAACGTTCTGCCTGGCCCTTGTAGACATACAAATGTCAACTATGTGCCCTTCTTTATTTAAAAAAAAATAGTACACCCCATGATGCTCCACTTTTCTGGAGTTTGCTAGTGCATACCCGCCTTTCTACGTCTGTCTATTCTACATCTCATCGAGGTGTTTCAACTGTGTCCTGCTTTTCCTTTTGCGCCTGTTGTCTTCCTGTAGTCACCCATCATCCAGTCTTCTAACTGCCGCTAGCCTTTGTCTACTAAAAATTATTTGCATCAGTGTAAAATTTGTAGTTCAAAAAGGCAAATGGAGCTAAAGCTCTCAGTACCCGGCCCTCTGGGCTCCCACGAGTTCTCTCTGGAGATGGCCACTTGCAGTACTTAGTTTTTTCTCAAATTCACCGTGTATTCCCAGATTAGATACACATGCTGTTTGTATGTAATTTGCTGAAAATGTTTCTTTTCACATCTTACTATGGAAGATCAGGATTTAATACACAATCACCACTGATCCCCACCTGACAGACATGCCCTGAATGCCCGTGTCAAGGACAGGCACACTTGTGCCTAAATCACAGCTTTGAAAAGAGTAATATTTAATCTCAATCTCTCTCTCTCTCTCTCTCTCTCTCTCTCTCTCTCTCTCTCTCTCTCTCTGTCTGTCTCTCTGTCTCTCTGTCTCTCTGTCTCTGTCTCCCCCCCCTCTCCCCTTGTCTCTCTGTCTTTCTGTCTCTGTCTCTGTGTGTGTGTGTGTGTGTGTGTGTGTGTGTGTGTGATGCGTATGTATGTCTCATGGCCTCACCAAGCTGTATACTGTGATTACACTTCATTTCACACCCTCTTTACATTTTCCTTAAAATTAATAACCAGTTTGTATGTCTTATCACTAAATAACCCCCCTGCCTCCAACAAGAGGGAGTAACTCCTTTCCCTGGGCTCAGGGCAAGAGCAGAAGCAGAGGCCTACATTCCAGGTGCTAATACATGGTAAGTGCTACTGGACTACTGTGTCACTTACTACGACCCGGGGGCTCCTTGAAAAATATGCAAAACCAAAACAAAATGTGAGTAAAGAACTAGTTCATGACACCTAAGTGAACAACAGTGCTGATTCAAACTTCATTTTCTTGTCTGTCCTTCTAGCGAGGGGGCACCCTGCCCAGGGAGAAGGAAGGAGGGTAAGGGTTTCCTGTCCCTGGCTGCAGCACTGTAGCGACCCTCCTGCAGGTCTCCTCCCAGGGCTTGGGAGCATGCAGCGTACATACCTGCTTTCTCTTCCTCCTTCCCTTGGAGGCCTGGCTGCTGGCCTGCGCAGCTCCCCTGCAGCTCCCCGCCATCCGTGACCCCTTGGGAAGCACTGAGTGAGTCCCACGCCTGTAAGGTGTCATTCACACTCCCTGGTCCACCCTACCCATGTCCTCTCCCTGGGCCCCAGTTCCCCAGCTGCCCTGCCCATTCCCCCCTCCAACTTCCACCAGCATTGCCCTCTCACCCTTTCTGGTGAATGAGTTGAGTGTGGTAGGCTGGGCTTTAGTTAGGGACCCCCTCCCTCCCCAGTGGTCTGGACCAAAAGGGAGGGGCAAAGATGATGGTAAGGGTGCCAGCTGGGTCCTCAGCTTGCAGTTCCCCTCTGTGCCTGCCCAGGGCTCCGCCATACACTAAGTAGCCCCCTCTCCCCACGCAACAACCTAGGTCCCTGGCCTCTACTTGCACCTGTACACAAAGGCAAATAGGTACTATTTGGCACAGTTCGCTCTCATCAGGATGAAGAGAATTGAAAGTCTCCAGAAGGAAAATTTGGACAGGAGAATTCAGTGTTCCAAGAATCCATAGTAGGAACTTTTTGCAGAGAGGGTAGAGATTGTGGGTTAGCATGCCCTTGATCCCAGAGATGCTTCCTGCAACTAGGAGGAACCAGGCAGAGGTAAGATGCAGGCCCCTCCGAGCTTAGGGCAAATTGCCCCTGTGTGTGTAGCAAACCACCTGCTAGCCTCAACCACCTTGTGCCCTTGTCTTCCTCCTCCTCCTGCAAGGACCCCCTGCCACGTAAGGACCAGCTGTGAGTCAGGTGTGGCACCCACCAGCACTGTGTGAAATCTTCCCTTCGCCCATCCTGCATTCTGAATTCCACTTTGTTCATTTACTCCTTTATCTCTGTGGAGCTCATGCATGAATAATTTTCTAAGAAAGGATCACATCAAGTATATGTTAGGGGCTCTCCTGAAAATAGTAGTGCTGTGCTTAGGTTGACCCCGTAAGTGGATATAAATTCTCAGCTCACCTTCCTTTTCCCTCACAATTTTGAAGATGCTATTTCCCTCTCTCCTAGTTTATAATATTTCTGAGCATCCATTGACCATTTAACTTCATACCTGTTTTGTACACAACCGCACTTGCAGACCTCCTAGGTCTCCTCCATGTTCTAGCATTCTGACAATTCGGGTTCTTGTGAACCTTGGTGGATCTCTGAAATCCATTGTCCTGCCTGGGTACTGGTGGGGGAAGTGCGCATGCGCAGGTGTGTGTGGGGGGTCTTTCACAATATGGCGACTTAGATCCTTCTTCTTGGTAGTGAGCCCACCTGAAGCATAGCCCAACCAGAGCTGAGCCCCAGCCAGTGTGCCAGCCGTGGGCAAGCAGTGAATACCGCCATATGCCACTGCAATTTGGGGTTTGTTTGTTGTCATCACAAAATCTGACAGATACTTGTTGGCTGTCAATGTGTATTTAGGAATGATGTATTCAGAAGCTCATTAGAAGCTGTGTGCGTGTGTGTGTGTGTGCCTCTGTGTGACTAGATATGCATCGTTGTGTACCTTGTATGTGCAGGTGTGCATGTGTGTGTGGCCCAGGCTTGTTGAGTGGGGACCTGCACGGGGAGATTAGGCAGGAAGGACCTGGCTGTGTGGTGTGGCCTCAAGGGGACGCCTTCTCTCATGCAGTTTTTCAGAGAAGTCTCGCCCATCTCTTCCAGGGTAGCAGTCTGTAGGCTAGCAGTGTCCTAGTAGCTAATTAGGGGAGAGAATGGGGTCCCACCCATAGGCTTTGCCTAACTCCTGGCTTTTCAGGCAGTCCTTTGCCCCTGACTGTGTCTGTCCCCAGGCCTGGCACTCCTCTGGCCTTGTGTGTCTGCACACTGAACCTCTGCTCTTTATATGGTAGGAAGCATGGGCTGCAGGGGCTCCAGGAGAGATGAGGGTCTTCAGTGAGTGGTTTTTAGCTGGAGAAAAATTTTCATCCTGAAAAGATTAGCAATACCTGGAGGCTTTGGGGGCATCTAATGGGCAGAGGCCAGGAATCACACTTAAATGCCTATAACACCAATCGTCACCAATCCAAAGAGGTAGGAAGCTTCAGTGGTTGGTCCTGTCAAGGCTGAGAAATCGCAGCTGTTCCGCTGCCTTCTGAGCAGCTTGGTGTCACCAGCTCTTGAGCTGCTTCCGGGTGCCAACACCTGCATCAGCAGGCTCCTCGCCTGCACCCAGGTGCGTGCACCCCACTCTGAGCAGCCCCTCCTCCAGCGATTTCCATCTCCCACGATGTTCTGAAAGGACCTCTGGTCCAGTGCTGTGGCCTGGCCCACCCTCCATGTCCTTGGGGCCTTAACAGTCTTATTCCCTTAAGCCCTCTCAGCTATGTTTGAGAGACTAAGAGAGCAAGATGAGAGAGCTCAAATAAACATGTGCATTCAATCTGTCATGTTAGCCAGGGATCTACCTCCTTCCGAAAACTCTTAAAGAAGTAGTTTCTCCCTTTCAGTCCAGTCCCAATGTCACAGACTGCAGGTCCTTCCTCTGTTACAAAAGCAGCTGACTATTATGTAAGGAGGGAGGAGTGAGTGTTTCATTCTTCTCTGAGAAACCTTCATGCTATCGGTGGACAGAACGATCCGTGGACAGCAGGTGAGAATGCTGGTCTCCCAGGCATCAAGGACACATGGGACTTTTCGGGACCAGTGTTATCTGCCTTCCGCCCCGGTGCTGGATGCTACAGCTTCCATCTAGAATGTTCTTGCAAAGGCCTGTGTGTTCACAGGCTTGTCCCAACATGGGGTGCTCTTGCAAGTCCTGTAGGGTGGGCCCTGGGGGGAGGTGTGCTGATCACAGTGGTGATGTCCTCGGAGGAGACAGTGGGGCCCCAAGCTCCTTATGCCCTTTCCCTGCCTGTGAGGCGGGCATTCTGCCCCACAACCTACACTGCGGTGACATGCCCCTGACCTCAGGCCCCAAGCAACAGGGCCAACCGACTGTAGGGCGGAACCTCCCAGACAGCCAACGCAAACCTCGTGTCTTTGTAAGTTGTTTATGTTGGGTGTGCAGTCATTGCCACTTACCTTTGTATGAGCAGCGCTACTTACCAGGCATACAAATATTGTATTATTTCTGCAAATGGATTAGCAGAATCACTAGCCACAATTAGGTGCCCTTAAAAATCAAATACCACAGGAGGTTGAGGGGCAGAGGGCAAATTCTACATTCTCGTAGGAACTGTCGACAGCCAGAGGCTCTGGCTCTGAATTTTGCTCTATTAAAAAAAAAAAAAAAAAAGGAAAATTAGTAAGAGAAGAGAAAGGTGTTAAAGACATCTCACCTGCAGCCTGAGGCTCTCTGACAATATAATGCCAGAAAAGTACTGAAAGGAGGTTCATAAAAGGGTTAACATTTCGTGACCTGATTCGGTGTGAGGAAATGCTCCCAAGCTCCAGATGAGCAGCTTCCAGCCTGACGCGACCCCGTG